TACACAAATATCCTCCATTATGAGCTAACAACTTTCTTGCATAGCTTAAAAATGGCAATATCAAACCATCTAGTGCTCTTAGAGGCCGTTGTGGACACGACAGAGGTAATACAATGCATAAACAATGGTCATCTGATATATGACCCCCTGATTTGTGAATGCAGGTCTCTCCTAGTAGCGCTGGGACATCCACCAGTAAATCACACATTTAGAGAGGCAAATAGGGTGGCAGACAAGTTGTCAACAGAGGCAGGGAAGCAGTTGAGGGCAGGAATCAACTTATTGGCAATTCCTCCGGTGTTCGTCGATGAAGTACTATGGGCAGACACTTTAGGAGCTATTTTTGAAAGAAACGTTAAAAGTTGTAATATTGTAAATGCAGCTTTGGACTACTCACTGTTTGGTATGATGAGCTTAACTCCTCAACAGCCCAATGTAAAAATAATCTTAACTTAGTATTATAAATATAGTATTCTTTTGGCAAAAAGAAAAAAAGAAAATTAGAGCCACTTACTTGAACTTTTCCAGCAGCAATTATTGAACCACAAACAAGACCACCATAGACAATTCCTTCAGCATTTGCGATGGACATTTTAAGCTGAGCAACTTCACGACGAACACCCAATGTTTCAACAGTTACATGTGAACCTTTCACATACAAAATTTCATAGAACCCCTGCAAATATATGGATGGACCAAATATTTTTGTCATATGCTGCAAAAGTAAGTAATATTTGGTATAAAGGTCAAAGTTTAAATTTCGGGTGCGAGTAAGTTTTTTCCCTATATTTTCTTGCACCTAGGAAGTAAATGACATTGTTATATTATGCAATAACAAAATCAGAAGCGGATCCAAAATTTCAATAAGAGATGGGTACATTATTACAAGGAGATGAATCCAGAATTTATATTTGGTTGGTTCAACCTATAGGTTCTTACCATGAATCCATTACCATTTAGAAACTATAGGTTCTTGCAATGTTAATCATTTTGAACATATATACCTATCTCCATATAAAAAATGCTGGGATCATTGAACCCCATTGAATATATGTTATATCATCCACTACTATTAGCTTAAATATGAACATTTAGTTTAATTATATAAAATTTTGCGATAATAATAGAAGAATAAAAATTTTAATGTATTAGATTTGGGGATTTTGAATGAATAAAACAAATAAAAAAAGAAAGGAAACGAAAAACACTTGATTAAAACAAAAGTGGTGAGACTAGACATGCCTACGACCATGAGATTTGAACTCCTAACTTCAATTTCAATTGTAAAGGTGCACCGAATAATCATTGCATTATAGGACTCTTTAAGCTTGGGTGCGCATATATATATTTATTTAAGTAATTTTAAAAAAGTATAACATTGTTATACATAGTATAGAGAAAAAGAGTCTAGGTTCATGTGCACCATACTCCTCCATATAGAGACGCACCTAAACAAAACAACGGATGTGCGACCATCAAGGCTGTAATGGGACAGATATGATTTCTTTACCCCTAACAAAGGTTTTCGGTTCGGAAAAAAAATCCTTATAGGGAACGCTTCCTCTTTTTAATGGGCCTTACGCAGAGCATATCCGAATTAGTTGGGGCCCAAAATGGGTACCGCGATGGAAAACCACACACAGAGAAAAGGAGAAATTTGTGGAAATGGGAAAGCCAAAAAAAAAAAACGAGGAAATTGTTGAGAAAAAAATACTAACAACTAGTTACTTGCCTCACATTTGAGGATGCCACCAATTGAATGACCAAGATCAACCTTTGAAATGGTCCCAGTAGCTGAAAAAATACACACAGATTCACCATTTATTTTACTCAATGACCAAACTTTTTCAACAAGATCCTGCAAAAAGTAATAATTAATTAATTCAGTGATTATAGTTCCAAGCAATCAAAACATTAACAAATTACTGTATTGACCATCAAATATATCTTACTTCTCCAGGCTCCACTATAACAACAGCAGGAGTGAACTCACTCCCCATTGTTAGTGCTGCTATCCCACCTTCACCAGAAAAAACAAAAAATATACATTATTATTATTAGTCTTTTAAGTTGAGATATAATCAAATAAATTTTTAACAACCAATACTATATACATCAACCCCAAATAAGCCACTTTCCTTTTTCTTCTAAAACGAAGATTAATAGAATGGAGCAAAATGCAATAGACTTTTTAAAAATCAATTGACTGATTACTTTTACCAAGTAATCAAAAACCTTTTTTTTTGGCCTCACATTCGGTGTTCAGTACTTGCAATGTGTTCCGACTAATCTTTATTCGTGTTGTATAAGACTTTTAAGGAGAAAGTACTTCCTACCAGAATTTTATCTATTTTAAGGACCCAGTGCGCTCCCTATTCTATCTATGCTTATCCTCATTGGGTGTTTACACCAATCCTAGCGTGCATTACATGCGTTTGTGCATACACTTATATCAATTAACCGTGATTAATTTACGTATATTTTCACTACATAAAATCACTTAAACATAATAAGTTGAATAATTAATTTGGTGTAAACACTCGGTGCAGGTAAGTATTTTCCGTACCACAATAATCGAAGATATCAAAAAAAAAAAACCAAATCAAATAAAATAAAAAAATATATACCACTCGATATGAGTAACTTGTAGAGAGAAAATTCACCTTGAGAAGCTAAAACTTGTAGTAGATTAATTTTATTACTACTGCCCAAAGACCTTCCTCTACCTCTTTTTTTGTGAGCATTCACTAGTTTAGGATTTTCCTCTTCATTCACCACCTCTGGCTCCTTTCCTTTTTCATTGCTTATTAATCTGTCTTCAATTACAGATTCTTCCATTGGTATTTGTGTCAAGGGCTTCACTTCATTCGATTCCAATGGTTGAGCAGAAAAACCATTGTACTTCATATCCTCCATTATTATATTAATATAATTGTAGAGTATTTTTAGATTGTCTAGAAATACACCTGTGAAATACAAAAGCAAGAAAAAGATTATTTGTTTATAAATAATACATATACAGAAGAAAGTATATATATCTCGAGCGCTTAATGTGGGAATCTAGACGAGATACAATGAATTTGACAGAATCTATCTTGTCTAGCTTGAACTTTACATGTATGTATGTGTGGAAAAAAGATAACACATACATATCTCGAGTCTTTAATTATCATGGGAGTCTAGACTAGACACAATGAATTTGATAGAATCTATCTTGCCTAGCTCGAACTTTATTGTATGCATATGTAAAAAAGAAAGTGTTACGAATATAATACCTATTCTCTCGGGTATGCTTACTGTAGTAATCTAGACTAGACAGAATGAAATTGACGGAATTCATCTTATCTAGCTCGAGCTTTAAATGTATGTGTGACAGAAAGAAAAAAATTGTTGTTTATGAATAATACATATACAAAAGAAGTATCTCGGATATGCTTACTGTGGTAATTAATCTAGACTAGACACAATGAATTTGACTTATCTAGCTCTTTAAATGTGTGTGAGAGAGAGAAAGAGAAAAATTATTGTTTATGAATAATACATATACAAAAGAAGTATCTCGAGTGAGAATCTTGATTATATTAGATACGATAAATTTGACAGAATCCCATTCATGTCTAGCTGAAACTTTACGTATGTATTCGTATGTGGAAAAAAATTGATGTTTATGAATAGTACATATACAAAAGAAAGTATCTCGAGTGCTTAACATGATAATCTTGACTAGGCACAGTAAATTTGACAAAATTTCATTCCTGTCTAGCTCAAATTTTACGTATGTGGAAAAAAATTAGTGTTTATGAATAGTATGTATACAAAAGAAAGTATCTTGAATGCTTATCATGGTAATCTTGACTAGACACGGTAAATTTAACAAAATCTCATTCCTGTCTAGCTCAAACTTTACGTACGTATTCGTATGTGGAGAAAAATTGGTGTTTACAAATAGTACATATACAAAAGAGTATATCTCGAGTGCTTACCATGGTAATCTTGACTAGACACAATAAATTTGACAGAATCTCATTTCTGTCTAGCTCAAACTTTATATGTATGCGTGTTTAAAAAATATAAATTGAAACACACGTATATAGAGAGCAAAATTCACTAACTTTAAATCTTAGATTTACCAACAAAGTACGTGTGCTCACAAAAAAAAAACAGAAATACACACACCAAAACCAACACACTTATAGCAATGAGGAATGAAAAATTTAACTGTGGAAAAAGATGAAAAGGCAAACCTTTCAAAGTTTTATGAACGTCAAAACCTGGTGGTGAAGAGGAGGAAAAGCTTTCTTAAGCACAATTATATAGGATTATTATTCATTTATTTCCATATTACACTTTTATGGTTTTTCTAACTTTTTCCCCTTATTGTTCCTATTTTTGAAAATTGAAAGGGCAATTCAGAAAAATAAAGAAGAGAACTGGAGGAATGTTTGACTACTTATACATGTTGTAATCTAGTTTAATAATAATTAAAAAAAATGAACAATTAATAGAAAATATAATTAATTTTGATGATTTAATTATGAGATTCTAAATGGATATATTAACAAATTTGTGTCATGTCCTATTAAGCATATAAATTAAAATGAAATCTTCATTTTTAATATCAGATTACTTAATAAATATAGCCATCTAGTAAAGACCTACTCATCATATCAAGTGAATGAATGTATATTACTATTGGTATCTGATTATTCTAAATTTGAAATGTTGAGTACATTTGATAACTGATTATTCCAAGTTTGAAATAATTTTACTATTGGCACCCGAGATGGACCGAAGTTGCCAAAAAACAACAAACAATAACTATGTCTCGGTCCCAAACAAATTGGAGTCGCCCTTATGAATCTTTATTTCTTTCTTTAAGCCCAACTCCTATTATCGATCATAACAATAAAATAAAATTTGCTAAGTCGACTATCTATTTTAAGTCATTGGTCCGTAAAGCACTTTTGGGTTGGAGAACTTGGTACTCATAAACTACAAGCTTTGTTAACTGAAGGGAGAACTTCAATATGGTCAAAATTTACAAGGTTTGTAAACTGAAACAAAAGTTATAAAGTTACATATGACTCTCCTCTCTGCAGCTTGCAAGCTGCATTGACGAAATATATTATTTACAAATTTGTTTACTCTACAAGAACTGTTTTAGAAGTCGGATCCCACATCTTCATATTACTCGTGATGCCAGGATTCAGTTTTACAACAGTGAAGTACAAATGCACATCCCCAGATGCTAGTTACATTTGCGCTTCTGGAAACTGCTTCAACTAAAACTTGGAATACTGAGAAAAATGAAGGTTCCTCCAAAATTAAACCAGTTGTAGCCAATGGAATGATCACTTTTCAACACTTGAGATTCTCGAGGCCTCCAAAATAACCCTGCGCGCCTGCAGCATGAGACATGAAGCTTTCAGCTCTTTTCCAGACACCTATACCATCTGATATGGCAATCGTGAATCTACAATCTCAGGAGGCAGAGGCCCCAACTCATTGGCATGATTTAGTTGTTCCGTATTGTCTATGCAAAAAGCATCTTAAGTTCCTCAATTCTTGCAGTCCGAACTTCTTGGTCCGTCAAAGCACCAGAAATCATCCGTTGCTTCCTAGCTTGTACTGCCTCCATTCTTTCCTCAACTGAACCCTGCCATCAGAAAAATATGCATGCAAGGGTCCAATGACTTTTTTAACATGATGTGCACTCAAGGTGCGATAGAGCATATTGATATTCAGGTAAGCGCCAAGGAACAAGCACCAGCACTTCCCAGAGAGGGCGATATTGTTACATGGAAACTGGTTAACAAGCCGTAATAAGGAGAAAAGTGTTGAGCATACCTTCACAATGAATCGTTTAATCATTACTTGCTGAGTTTGTCCAATACGATGAACACGCATGACCGCTTGTTCCTCAACAGCTGGATTCCACCACGGATCCTAGAGATAAGCAGGCAAAGATGAACATTGTGTATATTTGACAACAATAGAGTCACAGAAAAGTGTCAAATAGTACATATAATTATATAAACATTTCTCTCGCTCTATGCAACACTTAGATCAAATTATTAATACGAACGTGTGGAATTAAAAAGAAAATAGAGTCTTCTACTAAGAGCAAACCCGCTTTTGACAACACAAACAATTAAATTCAGAGAGTTCAATAGTCTGTGATCATCTAAATTTTTTCTAAAGGCAGACAAGTACCATGACAAAAGCATTAGATGCAGCCGTCAGGTTTATCCCAACACCACCAGCCTTCAATGACATTAGCAACACCTGTATAATATTCAATTTGACTATGGAAAAATAATTAATTTAAAAATAAATGTATAAGACAAAGAGGCAGCAGCCACGACAAACCAATATGCCATCCTCTTCTGAGAACTTCTTTATTACTTTCTCACGTTGTTGCTGGTTTAACGTCCCATCAAGGCGAACAAATGGAATATTACTACTGCACAAGTATGGACGTCAATAAATATATTAACTCAAAAATAAAGTACACAAAATATGGACAAGGCTATTGCAAAAGGCAATTGACAAAATCAATAACTTCAAATGTTTAACAGGACTCAACTAATGGGAGGAAAAGAATTGTCGTCCAGATAGAGACAAGGGTCAAATCATTTACACAAACCAGAAATCTTTCTCAGTTTCCTTACCCTTATGAGCATGCATACCAAGACTACTACAAGTATATTTGCCATAAATGGAAATACCACGATGTTCATTGAGCTTCTTCGTGTACAGTTACCTTAAAAGACATAGAAGTTGCAGAATAGAGTGCTCAAAAGCTTATAAGTTCTTCAGAATCTAACATGAACAAAAACAGGGTGTACCGAGAAAGAGGAATCTGCAATAAATCTAAGAAGGCAGTCCACTGACTAAAAACAATGCTTTTGGAGCCAACGGAACGAAGACGTTCTAGTTCACCCAACAAGGCTGATACTTTTGATGACTCCACCCAATTCTTCTCAACATCAATCTGAAAGCGGCTATCTGTCGGGGCCGTTATAAGCTCCTGCTTACTGACAGTGTTTCTGCAAAAGTGGAATATCTATATAAAAAACATGCAGTTGATCTCATTGTATAGAGTCTCGTTCTTCAATAAACACCTGTAGGAAAGTACCTACAAACAGGACAAAGGCCGGAAGTAGAACTTCGCCAGCTTGCCAAGAGACACTCTCGACATAACCTATGAGCACATGGAGTCAAGACTGCATCTTCAAAAGCTTCAAGACAAATAGGACATTCTCCCTGTTCTCCCTTCCGCAACTCTTCCACAACCTCCTGAATGTAAGCACGTGAAGGAACATCTTTGCCTTCTCCAGTCTCCTTACCACCCTTAAGGAAACGTTTAGCAAGCTTATTTAGATCGGAGAATTCTTGGGTATCACCTCGACTGGCCAAGAATAAACCCCATCAGCAAATATTACTTGAAAGATAATATCTAGTAACTATTAGTTATTAGATATTCCAGAGTCCAGAAACAGAGAAGCAAGGTGGGTAATCAGTCCAAAAGAGCAACTACAAAAACAATAAGACCTACTATTAATAATATAAGTCAGGTATGATGCCAGATGATAACAGACTACTGGAAAGAAAGAATAAACAATCTGAATAGCGTTTATAACTATAAGACAAACAATGATCACTTTCTAGAAAAACTGGAGTCAATAAGCTTTCTGGACACTGTATTTACTTCGTAGAATATTCTTGGATCCACATTTGAAAAGTTTTCGAAAGATCCACCTTGCTTTTCTTTCATTAAATAGGCAAAAAGAAGCGCTTCCATTTAATCTAAGAGTTGGCACACAGATTGTAAGTTAATAAAAATCTGTTTAAACAAACACTCCCTTTTCTCCATATCCTATCTCGCGCTCCCATAGTCTTGGAAATGTTCCTTAACTAAGATATGCAATTTAGTACTAGTATTACACATAGTTGCTACATATCTATGTGAAGTATTCATAATTTGAATTAATCAGTCTAATTACAGTAATTGGTCAAGTTGACAATATGAGAAACAGGACTATCAATTTAGGTCAGAGGGAGTAATGAGAATCACGTACATTCAAAATAAAATTAGAAATCAAACCAAAGTCTCTCCAAATCATCAATATAAGGAATAACTAAGCGCTTGTTGGAAAGTCACGCAATATTTTTTCTGGAGTATAAGTTCATTTAGACAAGAACAAACCACACAACATTAAACTCAAAGGATAAATAGGTGCACGGATGAAAGTACACACCTCATTACAAGAAACGGGTGGTCACAACATTGACGAAGTCGCAAAAGCAACTCCAATATAGAAGCATAGTTGTGGAGAACTCGCCCTTGCTCAACAAACTGATCAAACTTCACCTGATATTGGAGATATAGGACTATGGGAAAGGAAATAAAGGTGCAAAAATAATCGAGAATTTCATGGACAGAGTGATGATGGTAAAACCTTGGATCTTTTATACAATGCATCATAGAAGTCGCGCTCTACTTCTGTTAGTTCACAATATGTCACTTGAATATCTGCTGGTGGTAGAACTAAAATTGGTCTGCAACCCAATAACACCAGAAGCAATATAACAGTTCAATAAACCTAAAAGTAACCATAACAAACAAAACCAAACAAAAGAAGACATCAAAAAAATAAGATTAGTGAATCCTATGTGGAATACTCACCTGCCTTCCCTGTCTGTACTAGACTTTGTTCTTCTCAACATGATCGATCTTAAAATTTGTTGAACCAACTTTAGCCCCCTCTCATCTCCCTCCTCAAAAGGTTTCTGAACAAGCTTGTTCCACCTTTAATATGACCAAGCAGACAACATGTTGAATGGCATCACAGTAACATGAGAAAACTCAATCAATTATGCAAATAACTTTCTCACACAGAACTTAGCTTCATATTTCACCAGATACAAAAAAGGAACAGCACTTGTAGCAGCAAGTGCTGTTAAGGATGTCCTCAAACTAAAATGGTAAGGATCTAGACTGATGCCAGAAAGATTAGTGAGGTTTTAGTGGAAGATCATATCAATGAATAGCTGCTTCAAAACAGGGTTATTTAATAGTCATTTACAAATCTTAATAGGATAACAAGACCATATGAATGAATAAATCAAGCTGTTGTGGATCATTTGACAAATTGGGGCAAAGTCACAGTAAAAGATATGTGCTACACTCTCTACAGTCTCCCGTCCACAACATTTTTTTATTAGGTTAAAATTTCATTTAGTGATGGAGAAACCTTGCATACAAGGTGTACAAAGGTAGAGAATCTTACAACAAAGCATGTCCTCCACAAATAGCATCCAGTCATAACATTCAATATTACCAGCACCCACCACAGTTTCTGATACGTTTTCATGACGACAAATAAGTTTGAGGGTTAAATTTTAATGCAAGGAATCCATATCTTACCATGCCCAGCTTCCCCATGGTTCGATCCTCAAAAATCTAAGAAGACTGTAAATATCCTCCAGATTGTTCTGCCACGGGAAAATAGTAAGTTAAAGTCACATAACAAAATTAGGTGCCTATCAATAGCAACCTTCTCTTGAAAAAGCATAAGAGCAATGGCAAACCACTATAAGATGGCAACAAATGCTAGACTTCAAGAAGAAATGTCCAAAAAATGTACAAACCAAATTTGAAGAAACTAGCATCATGATTACCTAATCGGGTTAGTAGTATCCTCAAGTGTATTAGTAATGATCAGCTGATGATACACTTAACCGAGTAAAAGGTATCTTAATGTCATGTATGATGAAGCTTGTTGGAGGGTCTGATCACCTAATTTAACTCTTAAGAATTCGTCCTAGGATTTCGAGGAGCTTTTTAACGAAACTGCAGCAGCCTCTCAAATCCTTTACCTCCATTGTTCTAGTCAATAGAAGTACTTCACTAGGTATTTAGCTTTGTGGAGTCTTTGATAAGATAATTCACTAAGGCTAAATATAAACCAAAACTGCAGCATTAGTAGCATAGAGATTCAACGACAGTGTTCAGGGCCAGCCAAAAAGGATCTACTGAGAGTCTATGACTGCATAATGGATAAAATATATGAATGTCCAGATCAGCTGATAAAAGACAAGCACCGGAAAATACCAGCTTTTCCAATACGAAAATATCTATTTTCTTCTCTTTTGCAACGTAGGGAAAGAAGGGTGGCATGAACTTGTATCTGAACTTATGCAGAGAAAAACTAGCACTTACAATCAGTTGGAACAATTTAAGTTTAAACAATTGATTCAGCTTTGAAACACAACAACAACCCAATATAGTCAGACCTCTCTATAACAGCATCCCTATATAACAATACTTTACTATAAAAGCCAAGCTTTTTTGGAACCAATTTTCATGTTATGTTATAATATATGTTCTATATAACAGCACTCCGCTATAACATACAAAAATATTCGGAACAAACGAGGCTGTTATAGAGAGGTTTGACTGTATAATCCCACAAGTGGGTCTGGGGAGAGTAGTGTGTACGCAAACCTTACACCTACCCTGGAGGTAGAGAGGCTATTTCCGATAGACCCTCCGCTCAAGAAGAGAAAAGAAACAATAGAACAGTAACAACAACAAAGGCCAGAAAGATAGAAAGATACTACCAGCAACCTAAGAACCAGAAAAATAGATGGAAAAAGCAATAGTAACAGCCAGTAACTACGGCAAGAAACTAGGAATCCGGAGCTCAGCTTTGAAACACATAAGATAAATACTCAGGGGTCAAGGCATGCTTGAAACTTACAAAGTCATTAGAATAAGACACGCGACCAATCTAGCAATAAAGAGATGGCCAAAAATCTTAATAATATACCACTTTTATGAATTCTAAACATTAATATATCTTTTTACCTCTCTGAGAAGAACTATGAAAATAGCAAAAAGCGGTATTTTTTACTTTGTAGGAAAATAGAAACTTTAACCTCTAAATAATGCTAATAATCTTTTCTTAACAAATTTCCCTACTGTAACACGGACCTGGATAGGGGTACCAGTAAGACACCACCGACGGTCAGCAATAAGAGCAGCAGCAGCATTGGAGATTTGGCTTTTAGAAGATTTGATAGTATGTGCCTCATCAAGCACCACTCTAAACCATCTAATAGAGAAAAGTCCCCCACTGTCCTCAGCATTCTACACCAAGAACAGAACACAAAAATGAATATAAGAGGATCTAGACCGAGTTAGAGCAAAGAAGTACTGATAGGCAAACAAGGTGGACACAGAAACTAAATGTCAAACTATAATTTGAAGAATCAAAATAATACCTCTGTAGAAAATTCGGAGGCCAACACTCCATATGTTGTCAGCACGACATCACTTCGAGCAAGCACTTTTGTATCCTTTGATCTTGTCTGCCCATAGTAAACATAAAGAGATAGAGCACCAGGTTGTGCATGGGCTTCAATCTCTGCCTACAAACGACGGATTCATCTTCAGATATCTATATGTAAATCCTTCATCTTTTCCTTTTTGGTTTTGACAATTGTTTGTATGTAAAGCTTAATATGCCTAATGTGCCATTTTAGTTCCTAAAAAACATAGCAAAACTAATGTTGCCAGCTGAAGCAGATTTGAAGTACCTTCCATTGACCTAGTAGTGTCATTGGACATATTATCAGATTCCCACCAGAGATAAGTGTGGGCTTATGTTTCAGGAGCTTATCAAGACTAGAGAATTTTGCTGATTTCTTTGCAAAAGTTGTAGATTGACCTAAAATATTACTAGCTTCACCATTTTCACCAGACAGCTGGCTTGTAGGTTGGCTCCCTGATGATCCACCTCTTTCAGAATGACTGAGGAGGAGAGCTATAGTCATTATAGTCTTCCCTAACCCCATTGAATCTGCCAAAATCTTCAACATACTCTCAAGTCATAAAATGGAAAATTGCATAAAAACAAAATATCCCAAAGAGAAAAAGAAGCAAAGCGGCAACATACTCCTCCTCTAGCCATTTCAAGGGTACTCGGGAATTCAGTGGTCGCATCACCCGAAAATGCATTCAAGTAAACAACAAGCTCCCTCCTGAAATGAATTTTAGTGTACTGAATGCGAGAGTAAGTGGAGAAGAAAAACATGTATGTCAAGATTCACATACTCGTCTTTCAGACGGTAAGCATCCCAACATGGATGCAGAGTTGTTGCCGCTTCATCCGTGGTTCTTCCCCTCTCCAGTTGTGTCATCCAATGAAGTGCCTGCTTCTGATAGGGTCGCAGTTCGCACTGGAGTGTACTTGGTGGTTCCATTTCCTAAAATGTGAATGTAAAAGTATTTGGTACACATAGAGAACTCCATAGACAAAACAAACAATTTTGAGCTGGCCATACCTGTATCTCCGAGTTATCAGCTGAACCAACAATATAATCAAGATCAGTATCAGAAATTGTCTCATCATTCTCAACTTTATCTCCATCTGCAGATGAAGAGCTTTTGGATAAGTTCGCGTGCAATACTGAGGCAGGACCACCAGAGCTGTCCTGTGAAGAAAAATGAAGCATTTAAGAGGGTGAGCAGCGGAAACTAAGAGAAACTGTAACATCTTGATACTCTGACTTTAAGAGGGTGAAGTAGGAGTGTGAACTGAGAATAGAGGGGAAAACGAGTGGGAACTCTCTTCTTGTCTTACCTGTTCGCTCAAAGGCCGCTTCCTCGTGTATAAATCAGCTGGAGTGAATTCTGCCTAANAACGTAAATTGAACTTCCTCGCCAGCCTTCAATATCCTTCCTTTACATGTTGACATACCCGCCACCTCACCACACCCCACATACCACCACTCACTCCCCCTGTCACACTCACTCTCAATTCTACTCTCATTAATATTTAATCCCTCATTTGAAGAAACTGTACTAGGCTCAAGTTTTTGGATCTCACTAGTATTATTACTGCTTGAATTTGAAATTACATTTACAATTTCGAGTTTCTTGAAACTTGGGGTGTCAAAAATGATATTAATTGCAGCTGTGGGGTCGTTTTTGGCCATGTGAAGTGCTCTAATTATGTCCATCTCTGTATATTCATCGCCAACAATGGACCGTACCGTAGAAACGAGCTCCTCTGCGATCTTGTTCCCCATTACAGTGACTCCAAAAAAAACGGGGTAATTTTTCTTGGTTCGCTTCTGAATTTTGAATTTGAATTTCAATTGGATTGGTGAGAAGAATAGTTAAAATTTGAAACCCTAGACGGGTTTTAGAAATGGCGGGTTGGTTTGTTATTTGTTTCCAAAGAAGATGCATGCGGGGTATAGAATAAGTTCCCGCCTTAAAAGTCCCTCAATTTCTTACTAATGTTTATTTAGCAGCTTATAAAAAGTCTCCATTTTTTTTTTTTTTTGCTTTAGTATGTTTTAAAATATTTAAGATGTATGAAAATTTGATTTATAAGATAATAATAATAATTGAAGATATAATTAAGTATAAAAATATATTAAATAATAATAATATAAAAATATATAAAAATTTAAATCATAATAATAAAAATAGTAGTAGTAATTATTGAAGATATAATTAAGTATAAATATATATCTATGAAATGATGACACACTTTAATATAGTATTATAATAGGCAACAATCCTCAATTTAAGTCTTATAGCCTGTTTGGCCAACCTTCTTAAGAGGCAAAGTACTTTTTTTTTTCAAAAGCACTTTTTTTTCGTAACTTGAGGTGTTTGACCAAGCTTTTGGGGGGAAAAAGTGCTTTTGGGAAGAAGCAGAAAAAAGTAGCTTCTTCCCAAAAGCAGAAGCAGTTTTGACTTTTCTTCTTACCTAAAATACCCTTAATAAAATATAGTATATACCAAAATAACCATTAAACCTAATACTTAATATATTAATGTATAAGTGTTTCTTCTTGTTTTTATGATAGCTTTCTAATATATAGTGACTTTAGGGGTAAACGCTTTTATATTTGTTGAATGAATTTTAATATATTTAACTTATATTAAAAAAATCAAGTACTTTTAAATTTTATTTTCATATTTTAGTTAAATAAAATAAAATTATTTAATTATTGCATGTAATAACAAATTTTTGAGATTATTTATTTGCTTATAATATTAACTATTAAGTAAACATATTCATGTCCTTATACGTAATTTGATACTTAAAAGCACTTTCTGAAAAGTTTGGTCAAACACAAATTATTGCTCAAAAGTGCTTTTAAGAGTGATTAGTCAAACACAAACTGTTTCTCTTCAAAAGTACTTTTTTCAAAAACACTTCTCAAAATAAGCTGATTTCTCCAGTTTGGCCAAACAGGCTATTAGTGTCATCTACTTCCTTCACGTGTTAAATTTACGAAAAAGAATCAGACCACACATAAGAGGGCGACTGAAAGGCCAAGCAAATAAAGCATTTTCTTTAGGCCCCAAGCTCTTGGAACCCCAAAATTTAGTAGTAGTAATTAATTTTTACCTTAATCTTTTAATCAAAAAATGTTGAATTTGGTAATGAAAAGAGTACAATTTTTTTATAACAAGGAAAGAAGTGGCCACAAAGGACAACTTTTAAAAAGAGATACATACATATTATATTTTATTTTCCTTTTTGAAGTCATATTTTCCGGATTTCTCTTTATAATTATGCTTTTCTCTCTTCTTTTTTCGTATGCGCTACATATTTTGCCAAACAGAAAAATTAAAACACATTAACTAATTAGAATTGCAAGTCTATTTCATTTTTTTGAAATTTTCAAGCATCAAAGTAAACAAAGTAGAATTGATTTATTTTGGTATCAATTATCAAGATATCAACATTTAGAATCATATTTAAATAAATAATCGTCAAATATTTCAAGTTAGAGAAATTTATATAGTATTTGATAATTATGCGAAACAGAGAAATATTTCAACGAATATTTCATGACATTTAAATTAATCTAAACTTCTAATTCATACAACTCATATAGTATAAATAAAACTTTTAGGTAGCCTCACAATATACGCTACAACAACTCAAGTTTAATCCCACTAGGGTTAGTTTCTTTTTTTCAAAACCTTTCAAATTATCATTGATGGTAAAATCAGCAACAAAACCCAAAAATTTAGTTTTCAAAAATAAGAATTATTGGATATTAGGTTTGGGTTCCAAGGGCGATGCAAAATTATGTAAGAGATCGAAGGGCTGAGCATGGGAAAGATTAAAAAAAATTAAATAGTTAAGGAATTCAAAATGGCTCCTAATATTTCCTTGCCTTATCATATTCAGATTTTTTAGACATAACAAGTTGTATTATCTAATTGTATAGTGATTTCAGATTGGCAAGCTATAACCGTTTTAACATACTCTCTCTGAGAGCCTTGGGATGGCATTTCACTAATAATTATCATGAGATTTGGTTAAGTGCACCTTTTCGCGTCTATGTACAGAAATTTGTACACTATTTGTATATATATGTCTTAGAAACATACAACTTATTATTGTAAATGTTATCTTTTATAAAAGTTGAAATCATGTTCTTTGTCTCTTTAATTTCATGTCCTATTTATTATTATTTTATGCTGAGACTTAATGAATTTACGAAACAAAATTCATTGACATGATTGTAAACACACTAAAAACGATTCTAATATTGGTTAAACATTTAGATATAGATGATGAGTAGAACATATTAACTTTTTAATTGCATGCTAAATGCAAAGTCAACATTTTAATCGTTTTGCTTAAGTGTGTAATCACATGCATAAATTGATTGACATATATATTGATGAGTAAAACTAGTAAAATTGTCTCTTATATTAGACATTGCATCGATAAGTATCATTTCTAACTTAAACGAGGGTGACAATCTGAATGCCGAAACTTACGATGTATGGAGTCGTAAGATGTGGTATGTGCAGGAAGAGCAAGACGTTCTTGAAGAAATAAATCATGTTATGAGTCACCCAGAGGAGGATAAGACTACTTAAAATATAAATAATTTTGAAACTTGTAATATTTGGAAAAGGAAAGGTTCCGCTGCGCGTGGAATTATTGTAAGTTCAATGGTTGATGATTTTATTCATAAAGGTGAGCAATACCCTACTACTCAAGCTATATGGACACACTTAAAAGAGGCATATGGTGGTATAACTCTAATTCACATTAGATAGCTGACAATCAAGTTTGACACGTATAGGAAGCGGCATGATCACAGTGCCAAATAACACCTAAGGGTGATGTCAAACATGATTGCTCAACTCAAAAGTGTTGGTCATGTTCTCTCTAACGAGCAACAGATTCATGTAGTACTTTGGTTTCTTCTCAATAATTGAGAACATCTAAAGGTTAACTCGACTTATAACGATAGCATCAAAATTTTTGCTGACGTTACCCGTTATGTGAAGGTTGAAGACAAGTGACTTGGTGTTGCTAAAGCTATACCTAGTGCCTTTGTGGCAGAATCAAGTGGTACAAAGACTTCAAACTTCAAGCGCAAGAGAAACTAGAAAAATAACGGAAAGAGTAAGGATATTGGAGAAGGATCCTCCGAGAAAAGAAACAAGTCAAATTCCAAGAAGGAAAAATGATTTTACAAGAAGAAAGACAAGAGCAAGATGAAGTGCTACAATTTCTAAGTTCCGGACCATTTTGCTCATGAGTGCACTGAGCCGAAAAATGTAGCATTTCAAAATGCATATCTAAGTGTTATATATGTTTATAGCCCCATTTTACCAAGTGAAACTTATCATGTGTAGATTATAGACTCACAGGACACCAACCATATGAGCCGTGATAGAGAAGAGTTTATAAAGTTTTATCGAGTTCCACTTCGATCAAGGTATGTACATGTGAGAAATAACGCAAATATTGAAGTTAAGGGAACACGCAATTGCAGAATGGACATGTGTGGTGGCCGATCTTTGATGTTGCATGACGTTCTATATGTTCTAGAGATTCGACGAAACTTAGTCTTTGTGTTTGTTATTCTAGATTTAGGTTTTAATTTGAACTTGAGACGCAATGGTGTCACAATTACTCTAGACAATATTTTTTTGGCGTAATACATACGGAGACACCTAAAGTTGGCACGATCTCTCACTTAGACACTTAAACTAGACCTCTTTCCAATTGGACACGTTTCTTAGGCAATTCTCATACCAATTAGACATGTTTTTTGCTGGCTTATTAATTAACCAAGCGCGTGTTCTGCAATTTCCGTCTATGTGGCAAAAGTAACCATTATAAATCGTGCCACATCATTTTATTTGTCCACCTCACTGTCCACCTCAGCTATATAGTGTTATTTCCACTAAAATATAGATAATGAAGTTTGAATTGGCCAAGTGTGGTACTATGTCATCAACAGGAAGAGAATGAGCAGAGGTATCGACAACAACAATAGGAGGAAGAAGAAGGCGGAAGACGACGAGGTTGAAGAGCTGTTGCGGGAGGCAGAGGATGACGTATTCCTCAAGCTCAGCCTCAATTCCCATATGGCTCGTGGTTCTTCCACCCAATTCATCAATCCAGATCTCGATCAACGTTTACGTGCCCTCAAATCCAAGCAAACCCCCAAAACCAAAAACCCTATTCCCCAACAACCATGTTCAACCTCTACAGCTTCCGATGTTAACTTGTTTCCCAGATTTGCAGCTCTCAAAAGCTCCTTTCCCGCTTATTCTTCTTCGGCTAACCAACAGGTTGCGGAGGAGAATGAAGAGGATGACGATGAAGTTGAGAAGGTGATTAAGTGGGCCATTGATGCTGCTAGGCTTGACCCTTCACCTCCCTCTGAGACTAATGAAGATGAAAATAGTGAGGATGATGTCAGCTAAGCGGAAATGATTTATGAGTGTGTGTGGTATCCTTTTTGTTTTCTTCCAATCACAAATACTCACCTTTTCGTTTTCGGCTGAATTTGAATCTAGTATGGGATTCGAAAGAAGAATAGCGATTTGAGTCGGAGAAGATGACGGAAAGTGGAGGAGGCAATGATGAAAATGGTGGTGGACATAAAGAAGAAGAAGGAAATAAAAAAAATCTGTTTTTTGGGCTTTTCACGCGCCCATATTGGGTGAAACTCACTTTATGTGCCAACTCAGCAAGAAGTGTTTAATTGGAACAAAGTTCATGTAACGTACGTGCTCAATAGGAACTCTCTTAAGTTCAGGTGTCTAAATGAAAGATCGTGCCAACTTTAAGTGTCTCCGTATGTATTATGCCTATTTTTTTATAGTTTTGGACATCGTTATGATGGTTTTATTATGTTAAATTGTAATCCTTCTACATATAACTCTTATGTTGACTGTTGTGTTATGGTATGTTATTCTAATAATGATGATGTTGATATTATTACATGGCATGCAGGATTAAGTCACATAGGGCAAGATCGAATAAATAGATTGGCTAAGAAAGGACATGATCTTTCTCTAAAATTGAAATGTTAATGTGTATAAATTATCTTGCCGGAAAGATACATGTAAAACATTTGGAAAGACTAAGAGAGCTAATTTTACCTTGCAATTAATCAATTATGATATATGTAGTTCAATGAATGTGAGGGCTAGATTTGGTGCTTTATATTTCGTATGTTTATTGAGAATTTCACATGTTTTGGTTATGTCTATTTGATTTTACGTGAATCTGAAGCACTTGAATGCTTTAAGAGATATTTAAATGAAGTTGAGAATTAATTAAACAAAAGGATTAAGGCATTAATAGCTGATAGATGGCGTGGATATCTATCAGAATAATTTGTAGAATTGTGTAATAAAAAGGGCATCACCAACAATTACTATATCTTACATAGCTTTACAAAATGGTTTAGTATAAATGAGGGAAAGAACACTATTGGACATGATAAGGTCCATGATGGCGCAGGCAAATTTACCTATCTCATTTCAGGAAGATGCATTATTGGTTGCAACCTACATATTGAATAAAATATCTTTTAACTCAATTTCATCTACTTTTTATGAGCTTTGGACTGGTCATAAACCAAAATTTAAATGATTTGCGACCTTGGGGTTGTGCTGTATATGTAAAAAAATTCTTTTAGTAAGTTTAGAAAACTAGGTCCAAAGGGCAATAAATATGCCTTTATAAGACACCTAGAACACTCCAAAGGGTATGTGTTCATAAGTAAATTAGAGGATGAAAGTGATACTGAAATGTTGAGTTTTGTTAGTAAAAACAAAAGAGGTGTGAATAGAAAATGATGAGAAAAGAAATGAAGGAAAATAAAATTTTGAATTAGTTCATTTTACAAAGGAACTTTGTCCCTCATTGGATAGGAATAGGGAAATTCTTGTGCTTATATATGGAAGCACTTCTTCTAGCTCTTAAAGAGTTGAGAAGAGAGCAAGCCTCGCGCCGTCGTCATTATCGCTTGCTCGGCTCGGCTTCGGCTTCGGATTTATTTCCCTTTTCCATCTTTTAATATTTTATTTTCTAATATTTTTTGCGGAAAAAAAATGAATTTGGAAGATCAAGTGGTCGAGTTCGCGACCAAACATTCTATTCAACAGAAATTTAAATAATTTATGCTGAATAGATACCTTATCAATGAACAGGCATCTGTTGGGACTCAACTTTGTTGGCTACAAATAGAGAGGCTTAGCCTCATTTTCCACCACAAAAATTTAAACATCTCTCATCTCTATCTTTTGCATTCTGCATAGCAAAAACTTAAGCATTTTGTGTGATTTTGCTCCGCCATTTGAGTTCGCCGAAGTACTGTGATTTGAAGTGCCGCTATCACAAAATAGTTATTCCGTTCTATCCTGGTAGGAATTAATCTGAAACCTTGGGCAACTGTGAGAGGATTAAATTCCTTAAGGACATACAAGAAACTTATGGGTCCGAAATTTTTCTATTTTGTTTTCTTAAACTAACGTTTACTGATTTTCTGGTTTTAAATACAATAAGATAACAAGCTTAAGGAATTTAATAATTATTTTTGTATTCATCTTACTTTCTGTTTTGGGAGACTAAAATCGTAGTGATTTTCTACTCCCATTTTGAAGATTAAAATTTTCGAATTTTCTACTCCAGTTTGAGATTAAAGTCTTTGTGACTTTCTACTCAATCCGAGATTAAAATCCTTGTGATTTTCTAGTCGGTTGTTTGTATTCGGTTTGAAGATATAAAAACTTCATCGAGATACTAATTCTGTTTGTGTCAATTTCTTTTACAAAAAAATGACAACAAGTACGGAACAACAAAATGGTTCTGTTAGAATAACTACTGCTGCAATGGCTACAGTGTCTTCAAGTCGCATAATGCCTGCACCGGCAGAAAAGCCCGAAAAATTTTCCGACGTGGACTTCAAACGCTGGCAGTAGAAAATGTTCTTCTACCTGACTACACTCAGTCTGCAGCGCTTTATTAGGGAGGACGTTCCAGTCTCGGGAGAAGAGACTCCGGCTAATGAACGATTTGTGGTCACGGAGGCATGGAAGTATTCTAACTTCTTATGCAAAAATTATATATTTAGTTGTTTGGAAGATGTCTTGTACAACATTTACAGTGTAATGGAAACTTCGAAAGAGTTGTGGAACGCTCTTGTAAAGAAGTACAAGATGGAAGATGTCGTACTTAAGAAATTTGTTGCCGCAAAGTTCTTGAACTTTAAAATGGTTGACAATAAGTCTGTCACAACTCAAATTCAAGAACTGCAAGTCATCTGACCTCTTTTGCTGAAGGAGTAAATCAAATTAATATTTTTATTAAAGATATTGATTTTATTATTAATTCTAAATTTATGATTGTAGGTATGGTCATAAATGAAGCGTTTCAAGTTGCGGCATTTATTGAAAAGTTGCCTCCAATATAGAAGGACTTAAATACTACTTGAAATATAAGCGCAAGGAGATGACGTTGGAAGACCTTATTGTTCGCTTAAGGATTGAAGAGGACAACAAGGCTGCAGAAAAGAAGTCTCGTGGAAACTCAACAATAATTGGTGCAAATATTGTTGAGGAAGCTTCGATGAGCAAAAAGGGAAAGAAGCCATCTGGACCAAAGAATTACCCAAGCAAAAAGAAGTTCAAAGGTAATTGCCACAACTTTGGAAAGGTTGGACACAAGGCTACTAAATATCATGCACCAACGAAGGATAAGAAGAAAAGCCAAGCCAACATGATTGAGAAGAATGATGAAATAGGCGATTTATGTGTCATGTTTCGTAATGCAACCTAGTCGAAAATCCTAGAGAATGGTGGATTGATTCGGGGACAACTCATCATGTTTGTACCAACAAGGAGTTGTTTACTACTTATACTCCTGCTGGACCCAACGAGACAGTTTTTATGGCAAATTCTGTTACTGCAACAATTGAAGGAACATGCAAGATAGCTTTGGAGATGACTTTCTGGCAAGATTGTGACTCTAAATGATGTCCTTCATGTTCCTGAAATGCGGAAGAATTTAGTCTTGTCATCACTTCTAGTCAAGAACCGCTTTAAGAGTATTTTCTCTTCCGACAAGGTTTTAATTAGTAAGAATGAAATGTATGTAGGAAAACGTTACCTTACTGAGGGCCTTTTCAAACTCAATGTAACTGCCATTGATACGAATAAAAATTCAACTTCTTTTTACTTGCTTGAGTCAAATAATTTATGTCATGAATGTTTAGGCCATGTCAACTTCAAAACTTGGTGAAAAATAATTAATTTAGAAACATTGCCTGAATTTGAATACAATAACTCGAAATATCAAATATGTGCAAAATCAAAGTATGTTAAGCATCCTTATAAGTCAGTTGAAAGGAATTCAAATCCTTTAGACTTAATTCACACAGATATTTTTGACATAAAGTCAATACCATCTCGCGATGAAAAAAAGTATTTCATAACTTTTATTGACGATAATACTAAATATTGCTATATTTACTTACTTAATAGTAAAGATGCAGCAATTGGTGCATTAAAACAATACAAAAATGAAGTTAAAATGCAACTAGACAAAAATATTAAAATGATAAGAAGTGATAGAGGCAGCGAATATGAATCTCCTATTGAAGAAATATATTTGGAATATGGCATTATTCACCAAACAACTGTCACTCACCGCAATCTAATAGAATTGCGGAAAAAAAAAAGAATAGAACGTTAAAGGAGATGATGAATGCCTTGTTAATAAGTTCTGATTTACCTTAGAACTTGTGGGAGGAGCTATTCTTACAGCTAACCAAATACTCAATCGAGTTTCCCATAGCAAAACACAATCCACTCCATATTAAAAATGAAAAGGAAGGAAACCCAACTTAAAATATTTTAAAGTGTGGGGATGTTTGGCTAAAGTGGAAGTCCCTAAACCAAAAAGAGTAAATATTGGACTAAAAACCGTTGATTGCGTTTTCATAGGATATGCAACAAATAGTAAGACATATCATTTTCTGGTTCATAAATTAGAAACTCCTTCATATTAATATGGTAATTGAATCATATAATGCTGAATTTTTTGAGAATATTTATCCATATAAAATGGATTGTGAGTCGTCTAGTGAAAAATCTAAGCGACCTCGGGAAGAAGCAAAGGAAAGTACTTTTGATGAGAAAAATCCAAGACGTAGTAACGTTAAAGAACGACTACTTCCTTTGGACCAGATTTTTTGGCGTTCTTATTGAAAAATGAGCCTCAAACATTCAAAGAAGCAATGTCTTTCTTGGAAGCACAATATTGGAAAGAGGCATTCAATAGTGAGATATAATCCTTATTATGTAATCATACTTGAGAATTGGTTGATCTTCCTCCAGGAAATAAACCTTTGAGTTCTAAGTGGATTTTCAAAGGAAAATGAAAGCTGATGGTACTATTGATAAAAAAGGCAAGA